CATTGTCAGAGAACGTCGCGAGAATCGAGACATCGCGCGGGCTTTCGAACCGTTCGATCGTGAGGACCGTGAACTACGAAGAGAGAGAGAGAGAGAGAGAGAGAGAGGCGAAACCCCTCGCGCGCGAGAGAGATGGATGGATGGATGGAGAGAAATGGAGTGTGAAATTACAAACGGATATAAAGTTTCTGGGATGTGGAGAAAGAGGGGGAGAAAAAAAGAAAGCTGAGCTTCCTAGGGGAAGGAATTCGTTTGAGGGAGGATTGATTTAAAGAAAGAATTCTGCGTTAATTTAACATCCATCCGAAATTTAATTACAATTATGCAGTGATCTAGTTTTCTAACAAAGGGGAGGGAGGTTGATAGGGGTAGGATATACGCAATTTCTAACGCAAACTAATTAATTGTTTCGTCGATATTTTAGGCGCATCGTAGGCTATGCATCATAATTCGAGAAAAAGATGTACTAATAAACTTTATATTATTCGCATATGTATATATATGTATATATGTATGACTTGGCTTATTCGATTCAAGATTCAAGTGAATATTTCTGTCGAATAACTGCAATACTCGTAAACGAATGTAATCCACGCTTAAGTCTCGCTATTTCGTCTTTAATATCGAGTCCAATAATGAATGTTTGGCGAATTGATAACGCAATTGCGACCCTCAACGAGTTTACTTGACCGTTTGGAATTGCTCTTAATGAACGTATATCCAATCGATCTATCGATATATATACAGTTTCCGATATATAGATATACATTATCGCTCAAAATTGTCCGGAAACATATTTACCTTTCGCAAGATTTTGTATTTTGAAATTAGAAGAATGATTATTTTATTCTCTTGAAATAAACCTTCTATCTCTAACTAATCCTTAATTCTCATCATACTTTAATAAAAATTTAAATATCGTTGTTCAAATACTTGATATAAGAATAAAGATAAAAGTCAAAAAATATCCAATAAGAGCGTAACGAATTCACGAATTCGATATATTTCCTCGCATAAAAATACTGACAACAACAACATTACAATTTCACGCGTATACATTCAACCTCGATGAACGATGCAACGCCGATATATATTTTCCCGCGCATAGAAATAATGGAATGGAGGGAGGAAGGAAGGCGACACGGAGAGGGAATAGAAGGATGGAGATGAGTTTGAATTTGGCCCACGCCTCGTTAATTTTTCGCCCCGTGTCACTGCATTGTTTGCCCGGGGAAAAGAGAGTGTTTATTGCCCGCAGCTCGAGACGAAAGTCGACGGGTTGTCTTTACGTGTTCTTCTTTTTTTTTTTTTTTATTTTTCTTTTCGAGTGCACGCGATTCGTACAATCATGGATCTCCTCGAGCATTCTCGTTTTAATGATTCTGATCTAACAAGTTGCGCGTCCGTATATATATATGCAAGGATGCTCGATATGATGCTCGAAATGATCGTGAATCAACGCTGTTCGACGAGCGAGATTTTTTATTCGATGGGGGGGTGATGGAAGGAGATGGAAGATAATCGATCGATCGGAAGCGTTTATATGCAAATTTAACTGATAAACATCAAAATTAATAATAATTCTATTTTATAGGAAGCAATGTGAGTATATCTATTTATACATAGAAAAAAAAATGATGTGTTATTAGAAAATAATATAAATATATATTAAATAATAATTAGAAAATAATATATCAAATCAATGATTATTTTCGTAATGATATGGGATAGAGCAGGGTTTTAAACTGTAAAATATATTATATTATAGAGTTATAATGCTTTGTTATCTTTTTATAAAAAATACTTTCAGGAATATGAAAAAGAAAAATTTGAAAATTTATTTCGTAATGTATATATAGATTTTTTCGTCGAAAAAATAAATTCCTCTGAGTAATCTGTTGTCCTCCACATACGAATTTTCATCAAAATCAAATTTTTCTAGACGATAGATGAATTTCCTTTTAAGATAACGTAGAAGATTTTATGAATGATCGTATATATAGGATTTCAGCAATTTTCGAGGTTCCATTAAGTATGGCTGAGACATTAAGTATACATAAAATATATTCGATTATTCGTTGAAGGAATTGATGACTATTTCTGTCAATTATCGGATCCATTATTGATCGATGCGTATTAAGGTATTTGCTTTCGTAGAATGAATTTTAATGGAAAATTTCTCATCTCATCAATTTCCTAAATGAATCTCGAATATATCGTGATCTTAATTATCGAAGAATTAATGTGTTTTTCTCGATGTTTATACGTGTTATATTTAATGTCTCATATACGAGAGGCAAACTATAAATAGAAAATAGAATATTATCTGTACGTATATTCTGCAAACATCGTTCAAATGTTTGAGAAAAAATATATTTGAGATAATCCATTGAATAATCCATTATCTTTTGAAATACTATAAATTAATTGCATCGAGAAAAATTTTAATTTTAAAAAACATCGAAAAATTTTTGTCTGGAATTTTTATTTATTCGTATTTATCCAGATATTTGAGCGTTTCCAATTATACTATGTATATATATATATGAATATATTAAATATCGATTGACATAGTTTCGTGGGAAAATTATTACGGAAAAGAAATTAATATATCTCAAAGATTGCCGATAAATACGCCCAGCTGGTAAAAATAAAATTTTTATACTTTTCCCAGGATTAAAATATCCTGAATACTTCTCACGAAAATTAATTAATATCAAAGTAATTAGCAATTAATAAAGTTTCGAGATAAGGCAAATAATATTTTACATCGTAACCCGGTAATCCTGAAAATATATCTTGCCAACAAGATGAATGAAACTTTGAGCATCGACTGGAAGAGGAGGAATGTCGATATTGTCCTCGATGAATCCATTTATAGAATAAAATAGGACAGTCTGTGTACGTATAAGCGACTATACTATATTTACAAGCCAAACAAGATATCCTGTTCAATCAATGTTTCGACCCGCGTATAATAAAAATAAATTACGAAATAGAAATAAAATTCTCGAAACGGAATTCCTCTTTAAAATTTATTCCCTCCATGAAAACGTTTAACAAAATAAATTACAATTTACAAAACGGTCATTAATTATCGCGATATTCGGTCGACTTTCGAGCTTATATATCCCGCCATATAACTCTGCCACGATACGTTCGCATTTCCCTCCTCGTCGAGGATCGAACTCGTTCGCACTCGAACACGTGCGGACGCGTGTCGCCGAACAAACGAGCCAACTTTGATTCGCATCACACACGAGGACGCTACGCAACGTGCACGAAATTCCAGCATCGAAACCTCCTCCTCGATGAAACATCCCTCGAAAAGGAGGGATTCCATTTCCATCAAGGAAATTATTCTTCTGTATCGAGAAGACGGAGTGTCTCCTCGAAAGGAGATGGCCGTTCGTTTGTTCTGGGTCAAACATCACGAGCGCGTGTGGAACTTCCTTTGTGGTTGTTCGACATGGGGATGAAAAAAAATGATAAGAGGGAAGGGAGGCGCGTCATTTTCCGGATGTAATCGTGACCTAATATCTATCGAGTGCTCGGAGAGAAAATTAAATTAGACGTCGACCGATCGATCCTCCCCCCGCCGATGGAAAATGTTTAATTGCGTATTGCTCACGGGGAAAATGGTAAAACTAGGTGGTCGATTGGTGTAACTCGCTCGTCGTTAAGTCATAGACGTGAATTAATGCCGTGTAGCCCGCGGTATACGCGAAATGGAATTCTCGTTGCGCCTCGCTCGAAAATCACTTTGCAAACTGTAACAATATTATCGTTAATTGCCACCTTGCGCTCGTAATGTCCCTCCGACAACCGGCCGCGGCAAGAAAGTGGAAAAGAAAAGTGGAAAGTTCGAATTAACGAAACAGCTATTCCCGAATCTAAGTTGAATGAAGAAAACTTTGAAAACTCTTCGAGCAGACACTTTACACCCTATTTTAATTATGCTTTTCACCAAGGAACAACAGATCGACGAGCAACCCCTTCGAGCATTTCATCGAAACGCGTGAAACGAAAATGGTCGTTGGAAGAATTTCCTTGCCCGAGTTTCGATATTATACAGGTTTTCTTTTTCTTTTTTTTTTTTTTTTGTCGATAAGGGCTCCCCCCCTAGCCTGCACAATTTCACCGTCTAATTGCGATTTTAAATGTTTGCGGCGAAATGTATCGTTCGCATGCTCGTTCCCAATTAAAATCGAACAATTTTCAAACAAGTGGCAGAGGAAATAGAAGTGCATATAACGAGTAAAGGAACCAACCGCGTAATAAATCAAACGAATTGGAGAACTCCAATTATCGTAAACCTCCATCGCGGAAAATTTTAACTGCAACTTCTTTATGTACGGGCAAATGTATTTCGCGTTTATCCAATAATATATTCCAACAATTCTCTTTATCTAAATAGAATTTCTGTTACTTGGAATTATACCACGATGATACCACATTTAATCCGAATCAATATATTCGATTGATAACAAGATAAAAGTTAAAGAGCATCCACTTTATAAATATTCGAAGAAGGGAGAAAAGTTTGATGAAATATGGCAGAAAGGAGCATAGCATAAAAACTAACTGGAAATGGGACAATTTTCAACAATCGCGAGAACGATTAAATTGCAATAAAATTTTCTCATTATTTAATTACCCACTTGAATCGACGAAAAATTTAATTCCCTCCATAATGGAAAATTCTATTACTCGTTATTTCTGTTAATTTAAATTCTAAGAAAAAAAGTTTTGGCCGAGAATTAAACAGAATACTTTCGAAAATTTACTCTCTATAGTTTTCAAAAAAATTTCGACTCTTATCCCAAACTCTTACGTAAAACGCTCGTTGAGCGTTCGGCTCAAAGAAAGAAGGGAGAAACAATAGTTTCGCGCAAACTCGCCAAGTTCGACCAAACGGGGTTGACCCGAGTAGGAGCTTCGCTCTCCTACCTACTTGTAATTATTAATTCACACGATAAGCGTTTTATAATGCAACTCACCGTTATTAATCGCGGCGAAAGCGACGGCGCTGAGCAGCCATGCAGCCACGCTGATGGCGGACATCTTCGTTTCCCTCGTTGCAAGTTTCACCTCACATAATACGTGCCCGTTGGACGTTGGGACGAGCTGGAAAGGAGAACGGACACATTGTATTAAAACCGTGTACGTGCGCCCCTAAGATATTGCACGTTCGCCTCTCGTGCGTTCGTAATCTTCGCAGAAGAGGCGACCGTTTCCCTAATATCAAGTTGGATACACTTGACGTGACGTATGCGCGTTCCCACGGGGCTAGTAATAAACTAATTTTTCACTTAACGCTAGATTTATATCCGCCACGTTAAAATGTAACGTGGAAATGTATTGTTGGCAGATTTCCTTTATTCGTCTTTCTTGCGTTTTAAAAATACATTTACCGGGGAAAATTAAGAGGCGAATATATATTTGTAAATTTCTAGTTTTCATTCTATGAAAGTAATATGAGAAGGGATAAGTTTCTTCTTCGAATAAATGCTTGGTAAAAAAAACGTAAGGAAATTTGTTTCTTTATATAAATTCAGTAGTAATAAATACTCGTTTCACTTCTCTCTTCATTTCGTTGCGTTTTTAATATTTTTGAGATCGAATAGATAAAGAAAAATTATTTATAAATGTAATGGAAAATTATAAGAAAGGAGATTTTGTTTTTTGAATTTTTATAACTTTATTTCTTACATCAAAGATATCAATTATTTTGCGCGAGTCGGAAAATAGACAAATAGATAAAAATGAATAATAATGAAAAAGCCCAAGCTATTCCATCAAATTTTTCTATCTGCTTGAAAAATAGCATGAACCAACCAATTTTAACGAACACTCGGAAACGAAAATCGCTCGATAACGAAGTAGGTCACAAGTTTACGCAAACTTTATTACTCCCAAGTTTTATATTCACCTTGGGAGCGCGCCATACGCATAATATTAAGGTATATTAATATACGGAGCAACAAAATATCCTCGTCACAAAGGTTGTCTCGAAGCTCGATCGATAAAACGATACCCATTCTTCAAAGATAGCAACAACCCATCGAGCAACGTAATCGCTCAACAAACATCCCCTTGAAAAGTTCTACGACATCCTCCTCCCTCTCTCATTCCTCGAATCTCATTACCCTTCCTCCAAACTAATTCCAGAAGCGGCTCATCATTTTTTTATATAAAACTTATACCAAAAATAGCGAACGTTCTTCTTCAACCCTTGCAAAATGGTTGGCCAGGGTTCTCTCTGACTCCTGCCCTGACCCTCTTCGCGACGAGGTCCATTTATTCGAATCGCAAGCGACGAGACAAGATCCCTTTGACAGGGTGCAACGGGGCCAGAGAGGAGGAGTTAGAAACAGCATGGGGGAGGCGCGACAATGGAGGAGAGGAGAGAGATGTTAGAGAAGAAGAAAAAATAGAAACATGGAATTAGGAAAAGGGAAACGAATAAAGGGAGAAGTGAGAGAAAGGAAGAAGTAGATGGAGACAGACTTGAGAGAGAGAGAGAGAGAAAGGGGAGGAAAAAAGAGAAGAGGGAAGAAGGGAAAAAGCTATCACTCTATCCGTCCCGTCTACTTTCCTACAAACCTGCACACAACTCAACCAACCCTTCAGATGCACGTTTCCCGCTAGTTCTCGGCTCCTTTCAACCGGCTTCGCTTTTACTTTATGCGCTAGTTGTACATGGACTTTATACGTATATCGTCGCGCACCGTGTGCCACGAAAACCCGAAAATTCCGCTTCGCCATCCCCGTTTCGCGCATTCGTTTACTCAAAATTACGCCGAACCACATTTCTTTGTCAACGAACATCCTTGCGAGCTTTTTCTTTCTTTTTGATTTGATCATTGAATACCTCCTTGTTTAAGGAGAAACGATATTGTCCACGTTAGAAAAGTGAAATTAAAATCGAAAAGATGCGTTAAGATGTGTACAGTATTAGTGGATTAAAAGTTTTTATCTTTCGCAGAAAAGATTGTATATGTTTATAATACTGTTTTTTTTTTAAGAATTAGAAAGGCAAAAGAATATTTATTAAAGAATCTATTTAAAGAAACAACGGGAAGGATTAAGGTTGTAACAATATTAATCTCGACAACCTTGGCAACTCCAAGGATTTCGATAGCAATCTTGCTCGGTATTAACTTAAATCTTGTTTCGAAGCTGTCTGTATCCAGCTTCAGCTAGCGAGACTTATTGTTAACTAAGTTTACTTTCGTAAACAATTGAATTGTACAAGAAACATACAAACTTTACTAATGTCTACGTGACGTGTACATACTTAAATATTCTGCAAATAGATATTAACTCGATTTACATATATAATATGTAACAATGTGAATCAAGTTAATTATAAAATAGCAATTTGAACGAGGATATAAATGACTATTGATATTTTAAAAAGTGTTCGTTTGTATAAGCTTTTTTAATTTATGAAAGAATTTAAATCAAGAAAAAAAAAACAATTCTCTCGTTTTATAAAATTAATGTATATTTGAGAAGAAAAATATTATAATTCATTCAATTTAAGAACAAAAGAGAATCTCTCTCAAGTGAAAAATCTTTAAACTCTATCATTAATTATTACTTCCCAACTTCAATGAGAAGAAAGAAGTATTAAACGATGTACAAAAACTGAATGAGATTGCATAAAGAAAAGCCATATGTCTGAAAGTAACGCAGACGAATTCACTTTCTCAAACGTTTACTTATTAAATTCCTTCCATCGAGTCAAATATTAAAGATTAAAGAAGAAAACACGTTTAATTCTTTACACCATGTAAATAATGATAAATGAATAAACCTTTCTTTCATAAACGAGGAGAATCACCTGTGTACAATTCATTCTATTTATTTATTTCGGCGAAAAATTGTCAAAAAAAAATACAATATCCATAGAAATCTTTTATTTGTCGCGATTGATTTCTAAGAACAAGATTCGAAAAACGAAACGTATCATTTAACTCTACTTTCCTCTATTCTACGCATCCCATATTATAAATAAACCGCCATAAATTCACAGAGAAATAAAACACATGTGTGTGTGTGTGTGTGTATATATATGCGCGCGCGTAAATGCATTTTTCACTTTGAAAACAAACTTACACCTGACATAGTTTCCACAAAACGTGATCTATGATCTCGCACGTGTTCCTGCGCGTATTTATCACGTGGCAATGTTAAAGTGGAGAATTGAGGAAAAGCCTAGCCCCTCTGAATAGCTTCATATTTTAGTCAGTCGCGGAAACAACGATAGAGATCTCGCGATTTTTTAACGAATTCGTCGCTTTCGCGCGCGAAAAGCAGAAAATGGCGAGAAGAAGCGAGCGGGTGAAGATAGAAGGAGGGCCACGTTCCCTTTGCCAAAAAAGCGGAAATAAAATAGGAGAAATATCTATCCGCTCTTACTCGGATAAACTCCGAGTACACATAGCGGGTTTCGCTTCCTGCGTTCGTAATAAATCAAGAAAACTCTATTTAAAGGGGAGGAAATGGAAGAGAAGGGTCGGAACGTGTACGCAATCGTGTAATAGTATTATTTTATTTCCCTTTTTCGACTATCGATATGCCCGCCGAGCGAAATAATTGAATTGTAGCGCTAATTGCGCTTACGCAATCGAATTTCGCGAAAAAACATCGATTAACGCAATTTTATAGGGACATTTTATCGATGCAGAATAAAAAGGTGTAATTAATTAAATGGAAGACCGATTGAAAACGCTTCACATTTCGAGGCTCATATTTAAACATTTCGTTAGAAATAAAATTCGTCATTTCGTTAATTTTTAAGATCAATGAAAATATTGTTGAAAATATTCTCGATTTTCTTTGACATCCTTCTAATTATTCCAATTTTATTTATTATTTTTAAATCAAGTCGAAGTAAAATGCGCGAAAACACGTATGCGAAAGGGGGTGTCTTCCTTTATTTTTTTTTTTTTTTGATGCAAGTGGACAAAAAAAAAATTGGAGAAAGAAACAGAATTAAATTATTAAAGGAAAATTTTAATTCGAGAAAGATGCTTGATTTCAAGTTGCAAAGAAAATAATGTTCGTCACGATGACAAAAGATGCAGTTTCGCCCCGGTGTATTTTTGTGATAATGATATCAACCATAATTTAACCAGTATGCACGGTGAGCATGAAGTAACATCAGCAAAAATAATAACGGTGTTCCCTACTGCTAGAATATGAAACCATTTCCCTGCGTAATTTTTACTTTCTCTACCCGTGCAAAATATTCCATGCCATCTCCGACTCTTTTCATCTTTTTTTTTTTTTTCATCCTTCCATATCGCGGGGAAACTTTTTGATCCTGCGTTTTAAAATTCATTAGCGTCGGTCGGTCAAAAAGTAAACGTGTAATTTTTGTAATTTCATTCATTGTATGAAAAAGCGTGTAAAAGAGAGAGAGAGAGAGAGAGAGCAATACAATGCAAAAACGTATTATATTAATTTCTCGATGGATAGGGCGAGGTCAAAAATGGACGGCGCATGTTCTTTCAAACAGTCGTAATTCATTGGCTGAAGCGGCCGTTTATTTAAAACTTTCCGTTCTCTGTCTTTGATCTGTCGATGAGATTCGACTGAAAACTAAGGAATAAAATTATTAAAAGTAACGGGTGAAATTGATCATTTCTGTGAAAATTTTTTAATCTCGAATCTGCGAAATTGCTTGAAACGGACTATTACTCTTTTTCATCGTTTAATTTCATCGAAATAAATATTCGCGTCTCTTTGATTATAAACCTTTTAAATTAACTTTGTAATCACGTTTCTTTTACGCTTCATTAACTTCTATAAAAGAACTCTGTTTCTCTCTTTCATTGTTTACTTGAAAATTACATGGATACAGAAATTTATATTAATTTTTGTTCCATGGATAACAACTACTGCAAAATAGATTATTTTAATAAGAAAAAAATACTGTGTATTTTTATTCCAAGCCCTCTTATAAATCTACAGAAAAATATTACACAAGTTAAAAATCCAATTAAGAAACTTCAAATTTATTACGTTTCTTCAATAAGTATTCATTGAATCCATCGAAAGAAAAATCACGCCAAAGAATAATTCACAACACGTGTTACCTCAAACTAGTACGTCGACAAATTATTTGTCGATAGATATAATTTCAATATCAAGAAAACCGCGATTATAAAACACATTCGGGGATAAAAAGAAAAGAAAAAAAAGAATTTCGCGAAATTGCCCGTCTGCGTGAAACGTATGCAACTTTTTCAGAACATTTCCATAATTTAAAACGGAAAGTTAAATTACCTTAGCACAGACTGAGCAAACAGCCGGCATAATTTAGCCATTCGTTACCTTTCTAAGCAAAAAACAGACGCGATATTCGTAATTACCGTGCAGTAATTTAGCGCTTTTCGCGAAGAATGCAAGATCATCTGGCTCATTTTTGGTTTTCAGATGCGTGAACAAACAATAGGAACGCGAGTAATACTCTAAACGGGCGATTTGCCACCACGAATCGACAGTTTGCGAGCTAATCTGTCGAATAAATGCCAGCGCGCGTAATGCGCTTGTCCGGGTAACCATCGTGCGAAAGATAACGCGTACACGCTAAAACAGGATCGTTTTAATTTTATCAAACGAGCGATAACCGCAAATTCCACCGCGAAATCGCGTAAAAACAAATTTTCGTGTCGCGCCCCCTCGTCCCACGCATTTATTGCTAATCCCACCGAATTGGCAATTCATCATTCCTTCCTTTATATGGATAAAAACATTCTCTCTCTTCTTCACGCTGATTTTCACCGTAAATCATCCGTGCGTTATTGAATCTCGTGTATTTAGCGTTTATTAGATACCATAATTCTGTAAATTTATCGTCAATTATGTGTGCGAAACGTCATTCAATCGAAGCTTCGATTTATCGTATTTTAATTTATGGCGATACAATTCGAAATTTGCGATTTAATCAAGACTGATTCAACCCTAAAGTAAACTTAATAAATCATGACGTACGGTATTTTAATGTGTAGGAGAATGAAATATAGAACTAAGTATAATTGATCGTGTATGCATTATCGTACGCCGTGTTTGACAGAAAACGAACGACCATTATCCAAGCCAATCATTATACTAATCGATCATTTGTAATAACTCGTGTAACATTAAAGCACCGATGCCAATCTAGTCGCAAATAAAGAGACAACGGTTGTTTACCTCGATCGCGCATGCAAAATTCCAAAGTGAAACGTTTCGATGAGGAGAACGTCATTTGTATGATTGAACGCACTACATATTGTCGAGAAGTACCCGCGCGATATGTAGGTTGATCTGTTAATAGTATTAATCAGATATACGAGTTCACGTTCAGTAAAAGCGGCACGACACGAGCAATCAATTTTAACAATGCCGTGTTAAATAATATATTGCAAAAATTACGTATAGTATCGATAGCATGCCATGGAAAATGGGGTTGATTCGCCATCCAAGTTGCTATGCAAAGAAACTTTCAATAAAGTTCACGAGCAGTTTGCATTTTTATCCTTTATCTTTATTTTAAATTTGGAATATCAGCCGGAAAACATTGAAAAACTCGATCGAATCGTCGATGCAATCGAAGCGAAAAGAAATTGGCAATGAATGTTTCCCCATCGATTCACTGGCATGGAACTTTATTGAAGAGAAAAATGCGGTAGTTCGTCTTACCTATTGCCGTTGCTATGCCGTTTTCATCTCTCCGTCGTAGGTACGTCACAGGTTGAAAAGGCTGCTCACTTTTTTCCCATTTTTTTTCTCACTTATCCTTCTACGATTATGTCCTCTTTCCGCACGCAACACAATTTCTCACTCGCGAAAAAACGTTTAACGAAAATCTGATCGAACTCTCTTGTTAAGCCGCCGCACACGCGAATTCAACCACAGAAAACACATCGATACTGTTTTTTCTTCTATCCTTTCCACGATCGATATATCGAATCGTTCGAACGGAAAACACTCCCGTCAATTCTATTGTCGCACGATGCCCATTGATTTTTTATAGGTTATATTATTACCTTCTTCGCACTTTGGCCGTGTCACAATCTTGCTCGTACACCTTCTCCTGCCGTTGTCTTTACCCGTCGTTAATTAATTTTAGACACAAGCACGACAATGAAGAATCTCAGGGGTATTTTAATTAAAACTGAAAACTGAACAGCGCACTTGACCTTTCTCACGAGAAATTTAATTGAAACTCTTTCGATAACGACCCATGACGGTTACGCGTACATGCGTCGATTAACTGTACACTCGTGTTTCGCATATTCGACGTTCTTTCACGAACATTTCAACTTTCGATCCTATCGATAGATCGATTGCAGCGCACCTTCGATTCTCGATCGCACACAACGCTACGGTGGATATAACGCGAAACAAAAATTCAAATCTTTCTCCTCGATCAAATATTGCTAGTGAATATGCGTTCTAATAATTATTTCCACATAATAACATTTTCCAACAGTGTTATAGATATCAACAAACGTATCACTTAACCTTCCAAGTTTCAATATAAGATTTATTTTTAACACTGTGCTCTTTCTTGTGACACTCGAGAGGATACGTCCTTCAATCGTATATATTTTATTTTTATGAAGACACGAAACTTAATTCGACCTCATGTACACAGAATCTAAGCGAGATAACGAACACTTGCACATGAAATTCAACGAACGTGTCAATCGCGAACAAAAAACGTTCGAAACTAAAGATTAAACGATCCTTTCCCACTACGTATCGCGAATCACCGATCACGTGATTAGTGTCATTTCACGTTAAATACGCGTTTACTATCGATTATTTATCACGAGAAAACCATTACGATTTCGAAACAAGTGATTCTTACGAATAATTCTTACGCGCGTGTATACGTGTACGTACGTGTACGTGATGATTACGAAATAAGATCCGACCGTGTCGCGGTACGACAGCAAACTGACGTCCTGACGGGTTGCAGCGCCCCAACGACGGTCGTCCGGTGAACCATCCACCACCGTTTCACCGCAGGAGACCCGCCACCCCCTCACCTTACTATCCCTTCCATCCATGCCCCACTACCTGAAGCTTCTAATCGCAGGCTGTTGTACCGTGCACGTGAGAGTTTCGAAGCTTCTTTTTTTTTTTNATCACATTCTTCGTAAGATTTAAATCAAAAGCGTGCAAAGACGAAGGATACAGTAAGTACTATTAATTTTCTGTCTTTTTCTTTCTCTTGATAGTATTTCTAAGATTAATAATATTAAGAAAATTTATTTGAAATTTTGCGTTTCTATGAATCTATTATTTGAATTATAAAATGTTTATGAATAATAAATAAATGCAAAATAAATGCAAAATAAATACGTTTGATACTCGATATTAGCAATATTGTTAAGATCAAATATGATATTTTTATAAATACTGATTTTATACATGATATTTAAATTGTTTGATTTTATATTTTTATAGGTTATAATATTTAAATTAGTTGAACGATTAAGAAAACCTTATTCGAATGCTATATTTTATCATATATTTTTTTTTTATTCTCTTAATTGATTTAAAATTTATAAATTTATAAAATTTCTCTCTTTCTTTTCTGATTTATCAATGAAATCAAAATAAAATTACATTCTTATATTTTTGTTGTATATATTAATCTACTTGAGAATAAAAATTTCAACAAATTACATGGAAACTATGCTTTATATATGAAAATAAATTATTGATTGCACATAATATAATATAAAAAAACAAATTTATTTTCTCATTTTATATCGAAATATCAAAACCAATTTACGAAAAATTTTTATAACATCACCGTGTCATATGCACCTCGATATATCTTCCTAAAATATTTTTAGTTATTGAACCTGGTTATTTGCGGAATTATCGTATTGATTCTATAATATATATATAACTAAAACAAAATTACACTATTTTGATCTATTTTAAATTACGGATTTACATATTCAGAATTTAAATTATAACTATCATTGTAATTTTGTTATTCAGAATGGTGAGAATTAAAGATAAAAAAGTTAATTCAAAATGAAAAAGATAATATATACAATTTTTTAATCAATGCAATTTAAATCATTCTTTATAATTATAATAGAATAAAATAAAATTCAGAATAAAACGTCATATTTTCATTCATACTTACAATCATTCTTATGATTTCTTTGAAACAAGCGTTATCACCTTACTTTTAAATTCACTTTAAATTACATTTATTAATCTCAAAATGATATAAATAGATTATTTACAAGTTTTTAGACTTTCTAACATTTATTGATCAATAAATTTTACTGTTTTTGTTTTTTTTCTTTGAAAGAAATTTATCTAATTGTATATAAATAATTTTCAACACTTGGTTTTCTCAAAAAATATATTTCTACGTGCACTGTAATTTAATGGTATTAAAGTAATATTGCGTTACGTGAATGAATTAATTGCATAAATTAAAATCTGTACGATACAGGATGTAACCTCGCGAAAAGCAAGACTGAACACCTGTGTCATGGTCTAATTTCCAATTAAGACGTTATTAATACCGAGGTCGGAACAAAACGATCGTTATATCTCTTGAATTATATTATAATTTACGTTTGAATCTATTCCCGTGTAGAAAGTTTGTTATAAACAGAGCATACATTCCAAGCAATGAAAAAAAATAAGTACATATTTTATAATAGGTGTTATTGGCAAATATCCCAGTAATATGTTTAAAAATCCCCATAAATATGTTTAAAAAAGAATTCCTTTCATTTGATTAGAAATTTTATACGAATGATTTTGGCAAGAAACTAACATTTAAAAAATTTTAAAAAATAAGCACATTATTATATAACAACAAACGCAAAATCTCTAAAATTTTTAATTTGTTCTAAGAACTTGTATATTTACGTTGATCATAATTTTAATGAAAATGGAACCAAAACTATTCTCAATAAGAAATATTATTTGTTAAAAAAAAAAGAATAAAAAGTGAATTATTTTAAAAAAAAATTTCAAAAAATTCGTAAAATCATCGAGAATAATTTTTTAATTGATTAAATTAACAAAAATAATAAGCAAACATTATTAATGATCTGAGAATAACTCTTTTCACATACTAAAAATAAATAATAATAAACTAAAATGTTATATTTTGTTCTCATCTATGAAATAATCTCTATAATCAATATTAATAATAATTTTACGTTGATAACTTTAAACTAATGTATTCTTGAATTTCAAAATTCAATATTTACATTCAATATATGAAAAAACTCGCACATTCATATCGAATGTGTTTCTAAAAATGATAAAAATCGATTTTACGTCGAAAAGATTGATTGTAGGATTTGGCATTTTTTTGTTCCCCTTGGTACTATAAGCTCCTAAAGTCTTGGGCTTTTTTTTTTTTTTTTTTTTGATATCCTGTACGTACACAACGATAAATCACGAATAACGGCCATTTTATCATTGAATATGAAGCAATTCGATCGCAGTATCCGATATTTGAGCGGTCGGTTGGAACCAAGGAGCGATGCACTACTTTCTAAAATTACTCATCACCAACTTGTTTCATCAAGTTTCCATGAAAAACTTGAGGAAAGAGAAAAAAAAAAAAAAAAAAAAGTTATCGATGGACGATGTTTACTTAACAAGCGCGAAATTCATGGACACGAATGGTTTATTCCGTTACCCTTGGGAGGGTTGAAAGGTGGATGGAACAGAGGGTAGGTCGTTTCACACAGCAGCGCCTCGCTTAATTACTAGTTACTAGTAACAGGAGTTAGGAACGTTTAGCTCACAGTTCACGCTATCCAACAAAAGCTTATATCGTTATACGACGAACTATTCCCATTGCTAGCTTAGATTCAACAGCGAGGCTTCACCGTACCGAGATTCCTATTACTTCGAAATCATATCACCTGGTGAAACCACCTTCGAGTTAGTAGTTTCCGAACTGTAGCTAGCTTAGTTTACAACATAATTATCCCCGGCGCTAACTTTCAGGTACGAATTAACAAAATATATTGATGCAGGTACATTATTATGTAGAACCCGTCGCTACGCGTCTCGAGCATGCGAGCATGGCAATGAAACATTGCTCCCAAATATCGTCGCGATATCGTGTTAACTAAAGAGAAACAGATGGCTAATATTAATTTGAAAACTTGCGTCTTCTCATTCCTTATCATTTTTTCCAAACGATCTTAATAAAACTTTTGTTATAGAATTTAAAGTTCACTGAAATTTTATATGTAATTTCATTATTGAATTCATAGTTGCTAGGTATTTGTTTCTCTTCGATATCCAAATGTTTTGTAATCAGATACGCGCAATCACGTATAATCAAATATATTCGTTTAGCTAAACTCGTATATTTTATTTATTGTTTTCCATTGCCCAACAACTTTTTCTCGTACAATGATCGTTATCCTAAGCAATAAGGATACAGAAAAAGATTTCTTTCTTCCAAAATGCGACCTCGATTTACCAAAATACCCAATATTCCCTATATTCGAACGAGTTTGCTCCTAGTTGCACGCGAGATATCGATCTCGTTTCCCGTTGACCGTAAATCCAAACAACGAGAAAAATCACGCTATCGACACCGCGTACACTGTCGAAGTCGATCGTACGTATCTTCTATCCGATTTTCCTCGAATCAGCGCTCGATAAATACAAATACAAATACAAATAAGTTTAAATTCAAGTTTTTCGAAGCTCATCTAGGAGAAGCTTTTCTATATGGGTTTAAACCCGATGTCGTCTCGGATCGAAGGGATGTGGGATAGGTTCCAACAGCTGTTGAGAGATAGGTGAAAAAAATGAGATATTCGGCAAGTAACAGCGGCAATTTAGCCCGAGTACATCCCTTGTCGCCTTTAGCAAGGCTTCCAGGACCCGTGCTACTGTAATACTGAACACAGTTTCCTCGGTAGGGCTGTATCCACACGCCTACGCGGCCCATGTAGATCGACCAGGGAATGACGATACTGACCTACACCGGGCCGGTTAGAGTTGGCCGGCATCCGTTAGCCGTGGACTATACACACGTAGATTGGATCGGACATTGCACACCGTCAGCTCAGTTTCTGAACAAGGAAACTGCGTCCACTGTGCTGTCCAATAGGATACGGACTAACGCGACCACCCGAACATTCGGGTTATCGAGTTGTAATGTACAGTACGAAAGGCAATCTAGATTTCTCACTGACAAGATCGGCCCTGGAATTTCTGTCAATTTCGACGCCTCGGGCCGATTAATTGGGAATAAACGATAAAATTTCAGAACAGATTTTAATATTATAACAATTTAATATTTTAGAATTTAATATTTTAACGATTTTATTAAAATATTTATTTATTTTTTATTTATTTGTTTGATTGATTTATTTATTTTATATTTATTTATTTTTGACTTGCAGAGGGATTTAAAAATAGGGGAGAAGGGGGTAGAAGAAGATGACAATTTGATGTGATCATCTTTTGAAAATCTATAACTATTTATTACGTTCAATATAGGAATTAATGTTAGTTAAATGTAGGAATTCGTGTTCGTTTGCAATTAAATTACGCGATCCATTAACAGATAAGTGCGAAGAAATCGATTTTGATCTAGATTGGCCAAATAAATGTATCATTTGCGAATTTCTTTATGTTTGAAAAAATAAAGTTTCGTGCATTGCTTTCGAAATTATTAATCTTCTCTTCCTTTTTGCTTAATATTGCAATTTAAAAGAAATATAAAGAAATGTATAACATATAGATTTGAAACAACAGGTTTATATCGCGCGATAATTAATTTTTATTGAGAATCAGTAGAATTATTTGCATTCCATTTACGTTCAAAAGTATAATTTTAAGGATAAGATGGTTGAAGCATAATTTCAGTTCCATGGAATATTTGTAATTTA